CGGTCTGTGACCAGACCTCATGGTGGATGAGGGCCTGATCAACCAGGCTGTTACTGCTGGCTGCACGCAATCCAACGTACGAACCACAGCCCTGCTGGTCAGGTACCGACTTTAGGTGCTTGCCCAGTGCCTGCTTGAAGACAGCCAAGGGTCTATGTCGTAATAATATCACCTCCTAGTTCTTTTATTTTCTTATATCATCAAATTTATCTCTATCCTCTCATATCTCAGACCCCCATTCTGTTCTGGGACAAATCTTGCTGCAAACCTTTGGATTTTTTCCCTTTTTTACATGCTTGATCAAGTGCGGCGCTACATACCCCAAGATGGGTCTCACATATACTGTGTATAGTACCGTGAATGCCTCCTTGTTGAGGTTCCTGAAAGCTACTTTTAAATTTGCCACATATCACTAAAGATATACTGGTGCGTTATGGGTATACAAGTTGAAATTTTTGACCCGGGGAAGGGGTAGCCACCCAGGGTAGCCCAAGAAAGTCAGTGAGTCATCGGGGACTGTCTGTCTTATTTCCATTGTGGTCCAAATAATCTTGTTCCTAAGGATTCGACCCATGAAAGTCGACCAACATCCAGGTACCTACTGACTGCTAGGTGAACAGGGACAGCAGGTACAAGAATGTTTTTATTCAGTTACAGGTACACATAAATACAGTTACATAGATTATCATACATAGCAGCATATGTGTAGATTACCCAGGATAACCCCAAAAAAGTCAGAAAATGTGGCTTACTTGTCCTTTCTTATTTCAACTGGGGTCCTAAGGTGACTAAGACCCAGGTATCTACTTACTGCTAGGTGAAGAGTAACAACAGGTGTAAGGTGACTAAAACCCAGGTACCTACTTACTGCTAGGTGAACAGGGACAACAGGTGTAAGGTGGCTAACAGCCAGGTACCTACTTACTTCCTGGTGAACAGGGACAGCAGGTGTAAGGTGGCTAACAGCCAGGTACCTACTTACTGCTAGGCGAACAGGGACAATAGGTGTAAGGAAACACGTCCAACTTTTCCACCCGTGCCACAATGAAAAAAATGTACCGAAAATCATAGGAATTGCAATCAGCCTAAGATCTTTCTTTCTCTCTCTCTCTCTCTATTACATACATATATATATATATAATATATATATATATATATATATATATATATATATATATATATATATATATACAATTTCATTATCAAAATTATATGCTCCATTTTGAGCGACTATTATGAATTATATACAAAGTGCTTAATATATAAATCAATTTCCAAAAACAACAAAGAAAATGGACATTGAAACTATTATAGAAAACGTAAATTAGACATAAACTTGTTTAAAATAAAATCGCCCTTTATTCAATTCAATTAAAATTCAAAGTTTATTCTCTATAAGGATTACAATGCTGAGTTTACAGAATTTGGTTATTGTGTGGTTTACATGTAGTAAAATAATGATTACAGAGTGTACCACTAGAACACCTAGCATGGCTAGGCATTTCGGGCAGACTTAGTTTAAATCTTAATTTTAAAATATTACAAATTATGAGGTAAGTTGGTATTATGGCTAAATGACTAAATACTAGTTTGTGAGTTTAGCAATGTGAATGCTTTTGTTTTGGCACAGTACATAGTTTCAGTATTGGAGTATCACAGGATTCATTATTTTAAGATTGAGATTAATATTTCTGTTTATGGTTAAATGGGTGAGTGTAAGTGTGAACCACCGGGTGGTATTCGTGTAGTTAGTTGATGGGGTGTATCAGGGAGATAAGATGTTTTCTAATGGTAGCTTTGAAGGTGATGAATGTGTCTGCAGTTCTAGAGTTCTCAGGTAGGGTGTTCCAGATTTTAGGGCCTTTGACATACATTGAATTTTTGTAAAGGTTTAGTCGGACACGGGGAATGTCGTAGAGATGTTTGTGTCTGGTGTTATGTCTGTGGGTTCTGTCACAACTATCAAGAAAGCGTTTTAGGTCAAGGCTGATATTGGAGTTTAAGGTCCTGTAGATGTAGATTGCACAGTAGTAAGTGTGGATGTACTGAACAGGGAGTAAGTTTAGATCTATGAAGAGTGGGGGGGGGGGGGTGTTGCCAGGGATGGGATTTAGTGATTATTCTTACTGCAGCTTTTTGTTGGGTTATTATTGGCTTTAGGAGTGTTGCTGCAGTTGATCCCCAAGCACAAATAGCATAAGGTGAGGTATGGATAAATGAGTGGTATAGTGTGAGAAGGGCATTTTGCGGCACGTAGTATCGTATCTTGGAGAGGATCCCAACCGTTTTGGATAGTTTTTTGGTTGTGTGTTGGATATGGGTGCTGAAATTCAGGTTGTTGTCAAGGTATAGGCCTAGGAATTTGCCCTCATTATGTCTGGTAATTAGAGTGTTGTCGATCTTAATGTTAATTTGTGCATCTCCTGCTCTGCTACCAAACATAATATAGTAGGTTTTGTCAGTGTTAAGCGTAAGTTTATTGGCTGTCATCCAAGTCGATATTTTGATCAGCTCCTCGTTAACAATGGTGTTGAGGGTGGCAAGATTAGGGTGAGAGATGACATAAGTCGTGTCGTCAGCAAAGAGAATGGGTTTCAGGTGTTGGGATACGTTTGGAAGGTCATTGATGTATATGAGGAAGAGCAGGGGACCAAGGACACTTCCCTGCGGAACTCCAGTATCAAGTGGCCGTGTTGTTGATGCTGTGTCTTTAATGGTGACATACTGATTACCTGGAGTTTACCTGGAGAGAGTTCCGGGGGTCAACGCCCCCACGGCCCGGTCTGTGACCAGGCCTCCTGGTGGATCAGAGCCTGATCAACCAGGTTGTTGCTGCTGGATGCACGCAAACCAACGTACGAGCCACAGCCCGGCTGGTCAGGAACCGACTTTAGGTGCTTGTCCTAAAGTCGGTAAGGTAAGGCATTAGTAAGGTAAGATTTGAAATAAGCAAGCGCATGGCCTCTTATACCGTAATGGTCAAGTTTGTGGAGTAGGATGCCGTGGTCTACTGTGTCAAAAGCTTTTCTTAGGTCAATAAAAATTCCTAGTGGATATTCCTTATTTTCCAATGCTGTGTAAAGCAGATCTAGCATTTTTATGATTGCATCATTAGTGCTTTTATTTTTCCTGAATCCAAACTGGCAGGGGTTGAGTATATTTTGAGCCGTTATAAATGAATAGTCTCCTGTGCACGAGTTTCTCAAAGATTTTGGATAGAAATGGTAAGTTTGATATTGGCCTATAGTTGTTTAAGTCTGTAGGGTCACCACCTTTATGTATTGGTGTAACCCTTGCCATCTTGAGTAGTTTCGGGAAGGTGCTAGTTTCTAGTGACTTGTTAAAAAGTAATGAAATAGCATGCGAAAGGACATGGGCCGCTCGCTTGTACAGTAATGGTGGGACATGAGACAGATTCCCTGAGTTATTTTTAAGTGACTTTATAATCTCGATGACTTCCGTGGGCTCAGTTGGTGCAAGATGGAAGGAATTTGGGAAATTCCCATCCGGTGAAGGGTTCTTGATCCATGGCCCTAGGGAAGGATAGCTACAATTTTGTGGCCCCTTAAAGGAAGCTCCTTGATGCTGGTGAGAGGTTCTTGATCCAAGGAATTGGATCTGTGCTCCAGTTCCCTGAATTAAGCCTATATGCCTTCTACCTCTCAGGCGCGTGTAATCCCCACGGGTTTAGCGCTCCCCCACGATAATAATAATATAATTTCTTGAATCAAGAACCCTTCAAGGTTATCAAGGCACCCCCCTTTCTGAAAGGGACGTAAAGACTGCACTATGGCAGCAAATATAGTTCATAATGCGAAGTAATTTACACTTGGGGGAATAATAATTAGAGCAGAGTAAGCTGATACACATTAGTTTTAAGATAAGATAAGATTTCGTTCGGATTTTTAACCCCGGAGGGTTAGCCACCCAGGATAACCCAAGAAAGTCAGTGCGTCATCGAGGACTGTCTAACTTATTTCCATTGGGGTCCTTAATCTTGTCCCCCAGGATGCGACCCACACCAGTCGACTAACACCCAGGTACCTATTTGCTGCTAGGTGAACAGGACAACAGGCGTAAGGAAACGTGTCGAAATGTTTCCACCCGCCGGGAATCGAACCCAGAATTTACAGAATTTTCACAGAATTTACCTTCACTTATATAGGTAAAGAGACAGGTTTTAATGACCTACATCCATATATTGTCACGTCCTTCAGTAGCGACAATTTACAGTCATTTTATATCTATACATTACCACCACTACAGTAAAGGCATAATTTACAATGATTTACATTTCTACATTACCACTCGCTTCAGAGGAAGGATAATTTATATTCATTTACATCAGTATATAATTCCCTTGCATAAGTAAAGGCAAAACACCGATTCACATCGTATCATTTATATTGATTTACATCATCACAGATTTTAGCTTGAGTCCGTTGCCAGAAGACAGGTTGCCAGAAGACAGGTTGCCAGAAGACAGGTTGCCAGAAGACAGGTTCCCAGAAGACAGTTTGCCAGAATAACAGGTTGCACTAAACAGGTTCAGAAGACAGGTTCAAAGACAGTTGCCAGATATGTACAGTTCAGAGACAGGTCCAATTTACAGGTTGCCATTAACAGTTGCAAAGACAGTTGCAGAAAAGGTTGCCAGAAGACAGTTGCCAGAACAGTTTGCCATAAACATGCCAGAAGAAGTTGAGAAGAATTCATGACATTGCAGTAAGAAGGTTGCCGAGACATAAGTAAAGGCCAAAACACCGATTCAAACATTCGAAACATTTCAGAAGAACATGTTTCCCAAGATTGTTAGCTGAGTCACGTTGCCAGAAGACAGGTTGCCAGAAGACAGGTTGCCAGAAGACAGGTTGCCAGAAGACAGGTTGCCAGGAGACAGGTTGCCAGAAGACAGGTTGCCAGAAGACAGGTTGCCAGAAGACAGGTTGCCAGAAGACAGTTGCCAGAAGACAGGTTGCCAGAAGACAAGTTGCCAGAAGACAGGTTGCCAGAAGACAGGTTGCCAGAAGACAGGTTGCCAGAAGACAGGTTGCCAGAAGACAAGTTGCCAGAAGACAGGTTGCCAGAAGACAAGTTGCCAGAAGACAGGTTGCCAGAAGACAGTTGCCAGAAGACAGGTTGCCAGAAGACAGGTTGCCAGAAGACAAGTTGCCAGAAGACAGGTTGCCAGAAGACAGAATGAGCTCTTACTGGGATGTTTCGCTCTCTTTAGAGCTTTATCGAGTCATAAATTTATAAGATTCTATACAGAGCGAAACAATTTGATAAAGCTCTACACAAAGTGAATCAAGGCTTGATAAACCTCTACAGGGAGTGATTTTTTTATGAAGGGTGACTCGACAAAGAAACACTTTCACCATCATTCATTCAATCACTGTCTTGCCAGAAGTGTGCTGACATCGTAGCTCGGATGGCCTAACCTCGACATCTCTCTCCTCCCCTTTACTGTACTTTTCACCTCCAGGATTCAAGTCCGGCTAACCGGTTTCCCGGAATCTCTTTATAAATGTTACCATGCTTACACTCCAACAGCAAATCAAATCATGAAAGCCACTTACCTCCATTCACTCCTCTCTAGCATGATTACACACAAGCCTGTTGGATACCCAAGTCCCTTGCACTCAAAACGTTCTTTACGTCCGTCGTCCAACCTTTCCTAAGACAACCCCTATCCCTCCTTTCCTCCACCTTCCTATTTTTCTTCACCCTCTCTACACAGAGCGAAACATGACAATAAACCTCTACACAGAGCGAAACATGACTTGATAAAGCTCTACCCAGAGAAACAACGTGATAAGGCTCTACAGAGCGACTCATGACTTGATTAAGCTTTTCACAGTGAATTATGGTTTGTTAAAGCTTTACACACAGCAAAACAAAACTCGATAAGAACTCTATACAGAGTGAACCATGACATTTAAGCTCTATACAGAACGAAACACTGTCCCTTGGCCGGGCCACCACTTGGAAAAGGCCCGGGCCGGGAGAATACCGGCGAATCTTTAATAATAATAAACACTGTCCCTATGTCCAAATAAAAGCTAGTTCGAAAGCGTGTTTGTCTTTACAACTGTCGGCAGTAGGCTACTGGAACCAAACGAATTCATAATTTTAACCCACCAAATACCAATTTACAAAAAATAGGGAGACATTTACAGGTAGTCAGGAGGCCAAGGATTGTGTGAGAGAAAGGTGTACCAATAGAGGAAGTTGATGCAGAGGAAGGATAGAGGGAAGAGAATTCGGGAAGCCTCGTCTATATTAGAAACGGAGTTGATCTGTAGGATTTTGCTGGTAGTGTGATTCCTCCTGTTGTTCCGTTGATTTTGACTCCAACGGCGGGGTGGTATATCGAAGTCCTTCTTCCGTTGGGGGTGCACCGCCTGCCGCGCCTCCTGCAGGTATGGGATTACATCAGAGGCGAATATAACAGTGGTGAGTGAGGAAGAGGTTATGTGATAAAATACTAATGGTTATAATAACCATAATAATTAAAAGGAGTGAACCTATAAACCAGTGGAAGGCCTCGGTCAGATGACTAAAAGCTCCAGCTGTGGGTCATCATATGACTAAGACCCAGCGTCAGGAAACACTTGTCTTTTTTCCTGATAAACCTTAACTAACCTAACAGGTTATGTGAAGCCTGAATGACAGGTTTTAAACCCATTAACTAATCAATAACAGTAGACTGAAAGGTTTGTCATATATACAATACACAAAAAAGGGTATTTTTTAAGAACTCAGCGAAACATGACTTGATAAAGCTCCACTCAGCGAAACATGACTTGATAAAGCTCCACTCAGCGAAACATGACTTGATAAAGCTCCACTCAGCGAAACATGACTTGATAAAGCTCCACTCAGCGAAACATGACTTGATAACGCTCCACTCAGCGAAACATGACTTGATAAAGCTCCACTCAGCGAAACATGACTTGATAAAGCTCCACTCAGCGAAACATGACTTGATAACGCTCCACTCAGTGAAACATGACTTGATAAAGTTCTACTCCGAGAAACATGACTTGATAAAGTTCTACTCCGAGAAACATGACTTGATAAAGTTCTACTCCGAGAAACATGACTTGATAAAGCTCCACTCAGTGAAACATGACTAAAGGTCTACACTCAGCAAAATGTGATTTGATAAAGCTGTACAGATAATGAAACGTGACACTGGATAAAGCGATGAAGGTGTTTTATCTGCTCAGTTCAATTTAAAGACAAATATAATAGCAATACTACTACTACTACTACTACTACTACTACTACTACTACTACTACTACTACTACTACTGGTACTACCACTACTACTACTACTACTACTACTACTACTACTAATAATAATAATAATAATAATAATAATAATAATAATAATAATTATATAATATAACTAATTTAAAAGTGCTTGGTATCTATCTCACCTTGATATCTTTTGTCTGGTTGGTCTTATGTGTGCTGGTCCTCCTGCCACACAGCCCAGCCAGACTACTGAAGAAGGACTTGGTGGCTTTTAAGGGGGGAGTGTTGGCTCTGGAGGAGGTACTCAAGCCATTGGGACCCGCGATAGATGGTCCCACCTCCTTCTGTGACACCCCGAGGCTCACAGCCGCTGCCTGCAGGAGGGAATTGATGCAGGGTGTGTGTGCATGCCTTAACTATGTTGAGTGTGTGGTTGTGATTTCTCTCTCTCTCTCTCTCTTTCTCTCTCTCTCTCACACACACACACATCAACTAGATAACTGCTGCAGCATATGGGCGCCTGGCAAACCTGAGAATAGCGTTCCGATACCTCAGTAAGGAATCGTTTAAGACTCTGTACACCGTGTACGTCAGGCCCATACTGGAGTATGCAGCACGTCAAGAAATTAGAGAAAGTGCAAATGTTTGCAACAAGACTAGTTCCAGAGCTACGGGGAATGTCCTACAAAGAAAGGTTAAGGGAAATCGGCCTGACGACACTGGAGGACAGGAGGGTTAGGAAAGACATGATAACGACATACAAAATACTGCGAGGAATTGACGAGGTGGACAGAGACAGTATGTTCTAGAGAAGGGACACAGAAACAAGGGGACACAATTGGAAGTTGAAGACTCAGATGGGTCAAACCGATGTTAGAAAGTACATGTATTTCTTTAGTCATAGAGTTGTCAGGAAGTGGAATAGTCTGGAAAATGACGTAGTGGAGGCAGGAACCATACATAATTTTAAGACGAGGTTTGTTGAAGCTTATGGAGCAGGGAGAAAGAGAGGATCTAGTAGCGATCAGTGAAGAGGCGGGGTTAGGAACTATGACTCGACCCCTGCAACCACAAATAGGTGAGTGAGCACACACACACTCACACACACTCCCATATACACAACCTAGAGGATTGACGTACATTTGAAAAACTCGATAGGTGAGAGTACCTATCCAAATGTTTTCACTTAGCCGTGTATCTGCGGGCGTTGAGCTAAAGCCCTTAGGACCCCACTTTTTATTGTGGCTCCTGACACATTCTCACCTCGGTATCTCCTTCCTGTTCCTCCTTCTCCTCTTCTTCCTCTTCCTCCTCGTCCTCTTCCTCGTCCTCTGAGTCGACCTCAGAGCTGCTCTCAGACACATACACCTCCCCAGATCCGACCTTGGTGAAAACGTGAACGAACGCAAACTGCAAGAGGAAAAGGGAATCAAATGAGACGAAGTCTCCTACAAAATTTTAACTGGGATGAAGTTATAAGAGAATGCTACTACAATTATTACTACTATCACCATAACTGCGACTACTAAAGGAGGGCCTACCACTGCTCACTACTGTTATTACTACTGCTATTGCTATTACTACTGCTACTACTGGCGCTATAACTATTTTAATAATAAGTATTTATGAATTCATTTAAAAAAAATTATATAAAGATTTACACCATTAGATAAAAGGACCTTTAAATCTAAGGTGATTCCAGCTGACCTCAATGATGGTAGCGAAGATGAATCCATAGGAAAGCCACACGAAGAGATCCAAGGCAGTGGAGTAAGGTACTTTGGGTAAATCTGTTCTTGCCTCCAGCCCCAGGAAGGTCATGGTCAACACTGTTGTGATGCCTGTAGAAGGAGCCTCCTTCAGGGGGTATACCTATCTCCTATCTATGTCTCTCTTCTCTCAGTATATATATATATATATATTATATATTATATATAATATATATATATATATATATATATATAATATTATATATATAATACACACACACGAAGTGTGTGTGGGTATTTGTGTTTAAAGCCTCGTAGCTACACGAGGCTTGTTAAATTTAAGGCTGCTTGTAAACTGTCACCAGCTAAGAAATACTTTAATACCTAAAAGAGAAATTAAAGTCTCTCCATGTACACTGAGATACATCCTCCTTCGTGTAAAAGTTTGACACAAGTTGTTTTAGGCGTAAAGCAATGATTTAACCTAGGATAACTCAGTAAAGTCAGTGCGATTTATTTCCATCAAAGCCTTAATAACATAGCTTATATCAATGGTGCAAACACCGAGAAGTGTATATCTTCCAGTACATGTGCTCTGAGTGTTTATTTTGATCCCTATGACAGGGATTATAATATTCTTGACGGGTGGTGACAAGGTTACATGCAGCCTTAGTAACTTGACTATAGTCGATAGGTTGTGAGCCTAAATATCGACAATATCTGCTGAGGACTCCTTTAGCTACCAATAGTTCTTTCTGATGGGCTCAGGTTAAATGCTGGCACTGACCACTGACCTGGGTAAATAAGTTTAATACGATTATACACTAACCTGCAGAGATGTATCTGGCCACCGCCTTGGAGATTTATAGCTGGGCGCTGTCCCAGGGATGTTTCTTCATTAGTTAAGATAATTAAGTTAAACACTGACCTAGGGAGATACGGTCGGCAGTGGCCTCTCTGTTCAGCCAGAAGGAAACCCAAGAGAGAACCACAAGTAGAACACAGGGACCATACACCGTGATCATGAAGTTACCCATGTGTCGCTGAAGGTGGAAGCTAGCTAGCAGGGTCGAGAACTCCCCTGTCAGGCGAGGGAGTCAGCAGCAGCAATAACATCAGCAGCAATCGCAGCAGCAGTGGTAAAGGCAACCAACGTTGTAGTGGTAGTAGCCGCGTCAACAGCAGTAGAAGCACCAGGTCAGGGAGCAGACGTGTTGAGGGTTGCAAGGAGTGCACATTAGGGAATTCATTTAGTCATGCGCTACACCAAACCAGGAACTTGAAAAAATAAACCATCTGAACTCTGTAATGTTCAACAAAATACTAACGAGTCCTGTGTGTGTCCTCAACTACAACTGACAGAGGTATGTATGCTACAGTAATGTCTACGTATTTCTACAACCATGATGTAAATGACATAAATCATCAATAATAATAATAATAATAATAATAATAATAATAATAGTTTCTGGATGGTTACACTACTCTCGTAATGTTATGCGTTGTGATTAACTTGGTATTACAATATCCCCGAGTTCATGGTATGGTATGGGTCTTTCTGTAGGGTAACATGGCGAGGTAGGAGGTGCATTGTTAGAGGGTGTGTGGTGGGATATGGCGAGGGAGTGAGGGGGCGCATGGCGAGAAAGGAGAAAGTGCGGAGAAAATGGGGTGGTGAGCATAGAGTACACGCCATGCTAAACTGAGGTAAGATTTATATATTACGGGAAGTGCTGAACTCGGGCATGTAGGTCATTCAGAGAGCTAGCAGTGGTGGAGCCTCGACCCTTACATTCTCAGGCAAGCAGAAAGCTTGCTTTCCGACCGCTATGGGGAACATTAGGAACAAGCATAAGCTCTACATCGATTGTCAAAGTTACATACACCGAGAGGTATCTCTATATATACACTGAAAGTCTACTTTAATCCCCATTTTTAGGGATTAAAGTATCCTTGTCTGGTGGTCGTCAAGGTTACATGCAGCCTCGTGTTGTTGATTGTCTTGAAAAAAAAAATGGGGGGAATAAAAACGAGAACGAAATCAATGTGACCTACCTGAAGTTATCTCAAGTCGAAGCTGGTGTCCACTAGAGCCTTTGTGAGACCCTAACAATGGAAATCATAGCCACTATTCGGGATGCAAGAAGGAAAAGATACTGACATGATTCCAACAAGGTGTGCGCTGCATCACAGCTGGACACTGCTCTTATGGAGCTTACGTTAGAAGGCGTCGAGGAAGGCTGTTTATATTGAGAAGTTGAAGAGATTTTGCAGAATAACCTTTAAGTGTGACAACGTTTCGCTCTGTGTAGAACTTTATGAAGTCACAGAACGAATCGTTGTCTCAGGAGCTAGCTAGTTTTGCAACTGTCTTCTCACGCGGAGTCTTACCCAGAGCGAAGCGGTCGGAAGTAGCCTCGCGGTTAATCCAGAAGGCGACCCATGATAGGACGTTGATCAGGACGCATGGGGCGTACACCTGCAGGACAAAGTACCCCATACGCCGGCGCAGGTGTAACCACGCCACCAGCGTGGAATACACGCCTTCAGGAACCACCGGGAGGGAAGGCATGATGAAGGGGAATAATTATTACTGATAAAAATTAAGGGAGGCTGATCGCTAATCTCTCAGGAGTCATGCAGTCTTAGAGAATGACAGGTTTCCAGTTAAACAACGATTAGAGCCTTACCACAAAACACCACCAAAAAATTAAAAAACCGCGAACAAACCAAAAAAAAATAGATACGACACGTTTAGACCCTTTTACCATCATTTTATACACGGGAAATTTCCCAAAAATTAAAGAAGGGATACGGGGCGGGGTTTCGATTAGTTAAAGCCCGAAAAAGGTTTTTTTCATCTTATATTTGGTTGTAATTTTTCCCTTTCAGATAGGTGCTTTAATTGTAAATTTGTTCCACCAAATGCTGTGGTTTGTGGGGAATTTTTCCCACCCACAGTATTTGGGTTGGTCGGAATTTCAGCCTTTATTTGGGGGTTGGGTCGGAATTGTTCCAGCCACAGTATTGTGAGTTGGTGGGGAATTGTTCTAGCCACAAAATTGGGTTATTTTAAAATTTTTTCTTGCCAGATATTGGGGGTTTTTTGGGGAATTGTTCAGCCCGTATTGTTGGTTGTAATTTGTTCCAGTCAGGGTATTTTTTTTTACTTGTGAATTTTTTTTCGCCCTTTATTGTATTTTAACTTACAAATTTTTGCACCGGGAAAATTACAAATTTTTTTTAATTTTTTTGTAGCTACTACGTGGGTAAATTAAACGTGCAACCTTTTTAAAATTGGGTTAGTTGTAAACTTTTCGAACGGTATTGGGGGTTGGTAACTATTTCACATACGGTTTTGGGGGTAGTTGGGTTGTTTTTTTCCCCCGGCATGGTGGGTTAATTAAATTGTTCCACCACGCTTTTGTGGATTAGTTGAAAAATTGTTCCCCCAGGGAAATCGGGGGTTAGTCGTAAATTGTTCCGCCAGGGGTATTGGTATTATTTTTAATTAAGCCACAGTCGTAGTTTAAATTGTTCCACCCACGCATTATGATTATCTTCTTTTGGACAACGATCAGACATGTTTTAAATTGATAGGAACGTTCCCCAATTTATATTAAAAAACCTAAATTGGGGGGTAGCCTCGAGGCCGTAATTCATTCGGGGTTTTTAAAGCCTAGCGATTGTACCCCAGTTTTTAAAGGCTGCACAGTAACGTTTTCACCACAACAAGAGTATTTAATCTCTAAAAAAAGGGGATTAAAGTAAACTCGGTTTGTATTTTTTTTTAACGTTGGAAAGTTCAAATATTCAAAACGATTTTTTTTTAAAATTTATCTGGGAAACATAATGCACAGAATAGTGAATGTATTCATTTTTTACACAGTGTAGACCGGGTTGAAGTATAGCTACATTTTCCCCCTGCAACCACGTATTACACACCCCAAACCCACAAAAAAGGGGTACACATCACACAGGACCTTGCTTCGACCCTGCACAACATATGGGTAGTACATACATTCACATACACACACCGGGCCGGGAGCTAGAATCGCCTTTGCAACACTTTTGGTGAGCAAACCACACTTAACACACTCTGTGTTTCGACTCCTGCAACCACAATGGGTGGGTACAAAACCAAAACCTCAAGGCTCATCGTCCGGGAAAGGGTTCTCAAAGCCCGAGGCGTGGCTATGGGTCAAAATGAAGAGCATCAGGTCAGAAACGCTATGATACCTGGGCTGCGTTCCCCGGCCCCAAACGTCCCGTTAGTATAGGAAACTTTTGGCCGGGAAGATGTGTTAGTCATGGGGGGGGAAGAGACGAAGAAAGAATGAAAGAGGGGGGAAAAAACCCTCCCCTAGACAGGACCAAATACCAAGACCCAAGTTGGGGGGGCACGCTGTGTGTCCGGGGAAACGGGAGGTTCAGGGGGCATTGGCGTTTTCGTGACCTATAAGCAAGAGACAAGGATCTTGTGAATTGGGGCCCCCTTCTCTCTCTTAAGCTATCTTTTATCAATTTATCTATCCACACACACACTAAGGTGTGAATCGACCCCTGCAACTACATATAGACGAATAACAAACCCACCTGGATGAATATAGATTCTGCCTTTCTGATATGTCGATAAAATTTTTTTAGGGGGGGTTAGCAGGTGAACGTCTCCTTTTTGCCGTTTTAAATAAAACGTATCAGGCTCCAAAACTTCTCCGCACGCCACCGACAGAGTAAAACGCCTCATCCAGATCAAAACGCCACCCTTCATCCACCCACACTCCCGGAAGTAGCAACCCTAAATGGCTAATGGAAAAAGAAATTTGGGGAGAACGAACTTTTAGAGTAAGGGGGAGACACTGAAACGTGGGAGTACATTGGAAAAAGGGGATAAAAATGAGAAGGGGGGGAGTACATTGAGAGAACGTGGGGTACAGAAAACGGGAGACATTGGAGAAGTGGAGTACACTGAGAACGTGGGAACATTGAGAGAACGTGGGAGTACACGAGAACGTGGGATACATTGAGAAACTGGGAGTCCCTTGAAAACTGGAGTACACGAGAGAACGTGGGAGTACATTGAGAACGTGGGATAATTGAGAGAACGGGGGATACATTGAAAACGGGGGTACTTGAGGAACGGGGAGTACCTGAGAAAACGGGGGAGTACATTGAGAAGGGGGTACATGAAAAAACGGGGGGAGTACACTGAAACGGGGGAGACACGAAAAAACGTGGGAGTACTTTGGGAAAACGGGGGAGTACACTGAGAACGTGGAGTACACTGAAGAACGTGGGAGTACATTGAAGAACGGGGGATACATTGAGAACGGGGGAGTACATTGAGATAGTGGGAGTACCTGAGAACGGGGAGTACATTGAGAAACGTGGGAGTACATTGAAACGTGGGGTACTTTGAGAGAACGGGGAGTACATTGAGAGAAGGGGAGTACTTTGAGAGAACGGGGATACATTGAGAACGGGGGAGTACATTAAAGGAACGGGGGAGTCCATTGAAGAAAGTGGGGTACACGAAACGGGGGAGTACATTGGGGAAACTGGGAGTACATTGAGAGAACGGGGAAAGTACACGAAGAACAGGGATAATTGAGAAGGGGGGATACTGGACAATGGGGATTACTTGAGTACATGGGAGTTCGAGTAATAATCCCAAAAGTTTTGCGTGCCCCCTGGATATAAGATAAAAATCTCAAAGACCAACAGTACACGAGAAAACACTTTTATGACTCTCAATATTTTTTTTTAAATTTTCGCCGTTTTCCCCCCGACCGGGGCCTTGCCAAGGGGGGCCCGGCTTGGCTCCCTCCTGGGGTGTTGAGCCCTAAGTCTCCCCATGGGGGAGGCACAAGAAACCCCCTTCTTAGGGACCAAGTGTCCCCGGGCCTACCACATTCCCCCCCCCTAGGGGGCTCGTAGGGAGAAGCTGGCCTCTCTGGTCTGCCATCCCCCCCCGGGGGGATAATGGGAATGACGCTTGTGAAAACAAAACCCTAAAACCCCCCCCCCCGGGTTGAACCCGGTCATAGATTCAAAATCCAGCCCGTCGGTTAGCCCCAACCAGTACCCTGTTGACGGCATGAAGGGATTGAGCTAGAGTTGCACGGCCACCCACGGAGTTTTTCGTAAAAAAATTGCATTTGTGGTAAAAGAGGGC